TTTCAAATCCGGTCGGAATTCCGGCCGGATTTAACGAATTTTCCGGCATCCGGTATCCGGCCGGATTTGGAGAAAATCCGGCCGGATTTAAATTTCTGTTTTCACCAAGAATGGGATAAACCATCAATTTGGCAGCTTTAGAGTTTAAAAAACACTTATATTATTATAAAATATTAAGTTATTAACAAAAAATATTTAAAAAAAGTTTAAACACAATCAAATAGTAAAAAACATAAACCGCCATTTTGAATACTGATTTATCCACAATTGTACCCATTACCGGTTTATTTTAAATCCGGCAAATCCGGCCGGAATTCCGGCCGGAATTTTTGTCCAAATCCGGTAAATCCGGTTCGACCGGATTTGAAAATTTCAAATCCGGTGCACCCCTAAATGCAGTGTATTTTATCTTCGATATTGTGTCCTTCAATATTTTGTCAAATTGCCGCCATTATTAATGGCTTGCCGTTTCTCTGCCCGACAAATGCCAGATTAAAATTAGATTACATTATCCAAGAGTACTTCATTGTAGAATAGTCCCAATCCAAAAATTGAAAGCATTATTTGTACTTGGGAGGAAAAAACCTCCCATAATAGTTGTCCTGTCAGAATTCAAAAGAAGTAATTTAAAAGTCACGCGCAAGTTCGCGAAAACACCTCGTGGGCTACATAACAGGGGGGTGAATATTTTCACGAAACGTTTGTTCGCCACCACAGGCCACAGTCAGCAACCTAACTAAGTACATTGTATTTATTGTAACAACCTAACTAAATGTATTATATTTTTCGTATTTTTATAAGTGATGATAAAAATACGCAAATGTTTGTTGTCTTTATCATAAATCACAAAAATACAATAAATATAATGTACTAACTTGCTGACTGTGGCCTGTGGTGGCGAACAAACGTTTCGGGAAAATATTCGCCCCCTCTGTTATGCAGCCCATGAGGTGTTTTCGCGTACTTGCGCGTGACTTTTAAATTACTTCTTTTGAATTCTGACAGGACAACTATTATGGGAGGTTTTTTCTTCCCAAGTGCTAATAATGTTTTCAATTTTTGGATTGGGACTATTCTACAATGAAGTAATCTTGGATAATGTAATCAAATTTTAATCTGGCATTCGTCGAGCAGAGAAGCGGCGAGCCTTTAATAATGGCGGCAATTTGACGAAATATCGAAGGACACAATATCGAAGATAAAATACACTGCGTTGTCTCACAAATTGATGAAACCTTCTTTGAAATCTTCTTCAGCCATTTATGATTATGTAAAAGCACAATAAGTGGATGATATTTGCGAGACTCGACGATAAAAAGCAAACAAGGCGGCAAAATATGGCTGAAATCGTGTTTTCGTGGGGGGTAAGTGAAATAAAATGTATTATAATTAAAGAAAACAATGACAATCCTTATGAAATCAACAATATTTATATTAAATTAAGCATAGTTTTTTACGTATCACATGATAATTTTTTTTAGGAAATAAGAATATTTACTTTCTGCGAGGCATATTAGTTATTTTATGCATAATTAGCAATTTACCTGGGGTATGGTCATTTTCTTGTAAAATATTATACTTAGACAATTTTTTTCTTCCAATGACCACCTCTAAAAGCAACCCACTGTTAATTTCAAGGAGTTATTTTAACTCCACCATAGGAGTTAAAACTACTCAACTCGGGAGAGTAAAAATAGTGGAGTAAAATCTACTCCCAAAATAGAGTTAAAACTACTCCACTTCGGCGCGCATTCCACAATTTACTCCATCAGGAGTCAATTTTACTCCACTGGAGGAGTAAACTAAACTCGCGTTTAGGAGTAGAAATTATGGAGTAATTTGTACTCCTTAATTTTACTCCAGGGGTCGTTTCAACTCCCAAAAAAGAGTAAAATTGTTCTGGATCTGGAGTAAATTATTACAATATTTAATGTGCCTGAGAATCCAAGAGTTTTTCTGCTTGAGGCTATACTCTATTTAAGTATTGAATACAGGGCTAAATTGCAGAATACCCGTCCACTAGTTATCTTTCACTGCGTAGCCAGATTTTCAGTGGCTACGCAGTCACGCGTTATCAAATTACAATATCAAGGAAATACCTCTCTCTTGTTGATATCATGACGTAATTGTAATGAAGCTATTTT